TCTTCCCGGAGGAAAATGGCCAGGGCCTGGGGGTCATCTACCACCTGTAGGAGCCGCCTCAGTGCAAACACTTCTACCTGGCCCTTCTCTGACCATACTCCAGCCACAGGCTCCTCTCCCAGCCAGGATACCTGCCAGGGGCGCACAAAACAGAAGAGGCCTAAGGTTGGACAACAGACCTCCAGAACCATAACCTCTGCATGCCTACAGACAAACTACAGTTCCTAAGCAACTTTGCGAGATGGAAACTGTCACCTCCTGGTGCGTGTGTGTTAGTAGTGAGGATGACGCTCAAAGCTCCCACGGTGTTCTGGCGTCTCTGAAACACTCTGTGTGCTGAAGGGTCTCAGGGCCTGGGCCGCATGACCTTGCACCTCTGCGCTCACTCCGAGACCCTCGGTCTGCCCTGTTACCACAGGCAGCACATCCCTCTGGGGTTCTCCACTGCGCTGGCAAGTTTATGGCAGACTGACAGAACTAGAGGATCTGTGGGAGGGGAGCGTCCACTGAGCAAATGACTCTGTAAGAGGGGGTTGCAGGCAGGGGAGCATCCTTTAAAGAAGTGATTGATGTGAGAGGGCCCAGCCCATTGTGGGTGGGGTCATCCCAGGGCAGGCGGTCCTAGGTTCTGAAAGAAAGCGGATAGTCTAGGTGGTAGTGGTACGCCTTTAATTCCAGCCCTAGGGAAGTAGATCTCTGAGTTCAAGGTCAGTCTGGTCTACAGCTCAAGTTCCAGGACAGCCAAAACTATGCATAGAAACCCTGCCTCAGACAAGATGAAACAAAACAAACACCCCCCCCCCCCCCAAAAAAAAAAACAAAACAAAAAACCAGACTGAGCAAGTCAAGAAGCAGCAACCTTCCAGGGCTTCCGGACTTCCTTTGGTGACAAACAGTGACGTGGAAGTGTGAGTGGGGTAAAGCCCTTCCTGCCCAAGCTGCTTTTGGGGTTTCATCACAGCAACAGCAACCCCAAGACATTCATTCACCTTGGGCCCAAACGCTGAGACCCATGCTTAACTGTGTCTTCTTCACACCTACACTGAAAGCACCCTTCCAGATCTTTCTAACCACCTGTGCTGTGGTGGCATATGTCTCCACCAACGCCCCTTACAGAATCAAACATGTCTGCCTTCCTGCAGCCGATTTTCTACACAAAAGCCAGAGGGATTCTTTTAAATAATACCAGATAGATACTTCCTCAACTTTCCATTCTCCACTTGTTCCTAATTTCTCCAGAGGGAGAAGCCCAAGTCCTCACACTGCCCTGCAGGGCCCAAACAACTCTTCTGGGTGCTCACTTCTGCCTCTGCCCATCACACTCCACACACGCTGGTCTCCCCTTGAAACTTCAGAACCTGCCGTGGATCTCTATCCCAAGAGAACCTGCTCACCAAGTCCTCTCGCGGCACCATTTACAAAAGCAACTCCACCCCAGGAACACGCATATTATCTTTTTTTTTTTTTTTTTTTTTGGTTTTTTGAGTCAGGGTTTCTCTGTAGCTTTGGTGCCCGTCCCGGAACTAGCTCTTGTAGACCAGGCTGGCCTCAAACTCCCAGAGATCCGCCTGCCTCTGCCTCCTGAGTGCTGGGATTAAAGGCGTGCGCCACCACCGCCGGGCTCACATATAGTATCTTGTAACAAACTACATATTTACAAGTTTCTTCTTGTTCCCTTCCTCACTAGGATGTTGAGCTCATAGATTCAGAGCCGCCTGTCACCAGGCTAAATCTTCTGGGACTAGGAGAGTACCCAAGGCATAGTAAGAACCGGACAGAAACCCACAGGCCCGGCTGTGGGTGAAGTTTTGGTCTGAGTCCTCTTCGCATACCACCTGACCAGAGGAAGACACTTCAGTCACATGAGGTGAGCACTCCGCCACTGAGCTACCTTGGAACTCACCCTGTCGCTTATGCTGGCTTTTCATCCTTCTGCCTTAGTTCCTAAGCAATAGCTAAGTAAATCCCTTACATCCCACAACCGTGTGCTGTTTCAGCCCCACATTGTTTACGTCTTCACCAGCCCCACCTAGGAAGCGTCAGGACTTCCAGCGTTTGCCTAACAACCGTGGTAACAACGACAAGCAAAAACCACTACAGCCTAAAACCATACCTAGTGTGTAACAGCTATTACCCCTCTTAAGGAATAAAAACTATTAAATAAATGAGTAAAAGCTGAAGGGAACTGAGTGTGGTGGCTCATGCCTGTTATCTCAACCTTTAGAAGCTGAGGCAGGGAAACCACCCTGGGTTTGGAGTCAGCCTGGGCTACCTAGTGAGACTATGTCTAAAGAACAAAAACGAAAAACCTGCAGGGCAGGAGAAGGTACCGAGGGATTTGACTGTTGGGGAAGGGGTAAGCTGCAGAGAATGCTGCACAGTCCCTGGGAAGGCAAGTACCCGAACTCGGTTGATGCCACCATAGTGAGGAACCATGGCCAGGTCCAGCTGAGGTTTCCGCTCCTCTTCATCCTCTTCATCTTCCTCTTCATCATCATCACTGCCCTCTGAGGGTGGTGGCTTGGTCCCATGGAGATTGTGCATCCGAAGCATCATCAGTCTGGGGAAGCAAAGGATGAATTAAATTAGAAACTGAGTGTCGGGACGTTTAGGGAGGAAGGAGGCCGAGGACCCAGACTCTTAGGTCTGGCAGACACTGACAGCCCTAACTCTTGGGTCCTTGAGGATCATGAAAAGGTACTGAGTCTCACCTATTGTTCTGGGCGCTGTCAGCCTGGGTTCCCGCACACAGGAAGAGAGTAAGCGGGAGTTCTGTCCGGTTGTCACCCAGGTGATCTCGGACTATGTCAAAGCTGAGACAAGGGGCGCCTAGGGAGGGAGGGAAGACGGTATAGTAGCAGAGTATACGGCCAGCAGTCCGCAAGGTGATGACAACCCTCAGACTCCAGACCGCTCGTCCCCTAGGCTCCAAGTCAAGCCTTTCATTTCCCTGAGTCCAAGAATCAGGGTCCTCAGCCTACCAGTTTGCGCACGATGGTACAGCACGTAGGCCTCCTCGTCCATCACCAGCTCCTCCCCTTCTCCTAATGGCGGTCCCTTGCCGGGCAGGTAGACCTGGGGTGGGCTTTCGGATGCTGGATCGCAGGACTCAGCCTCCATGGGTTCCCCAGTTTCACATGTGCGCCTCCGTCCCTTGCGCGCCGCCATCTTCGAACCTTCTCGCCCCGACGCGAAGTAAGGACGTCACTTCCGGGTTTCTTTTTCCCCGGTCTAAGACCTGTCCCACTGCACTGTTACCTTGGAAACCTGAGAGCCAGTAACAAGTAGGTGGTGCGCAGAGAGTTGGATGCCCCAGGTGACCGGCTAGTGGAGAAAAGAGATTAGCCCCAGTCGTGTCTTTCGCGTGACCTCGGGGAGTTCTTCCACAGCAGTGGCAAGGCCTTCTGGGAGTTGTCGTTCCACGGGAGTCCTTGACTTCCGAGTCCCTCTCCACTTCCACCTTTCATTCCCGGGGCTGTCTTTCCAGTTAGTTAACTATTCATGTATGCAAACAAGCGCTTGCTGGCAAAGAGACTAGGCTTCTGTTCCCCGAGGACCTATAAGGACGGTTTCTTCTCCTCTCCTTGTTATGATGGCTTTAAATTGTTTCAAAAATGCTTTAGGGTAGACAGGTTGGATATTATGTATAAGTTAGTAGATTGAATCTATCCTCTGGGGCGGTCCATTTCCCAAACAGCCATTCCCATGGCAGCACTGGTCAGCAGCACTTAATCAGAAAGTCTCTCTTGAGGCCGCAGCTACAACTGTGTCAGCTCTCTTTATCCACCCTTGTGCACCCGAGTTTTGGTTAATTGGCGTAATGAAATAGGAATAGATTCTCACTGGGGAGATTAAGGGTATTCAAGATGTGGGTTGGCCACTCTTCGTTTACATAAGATAACCAAGCAAACCATTCTTGCCAGTAGCCTTAGGAACAGGCATCTAGATTGGTCCTAACTTTTGCATCCCTTATCTTTTCCGCTACTCTTTGGGGCGTCTCTTCCCCACCCCCTCTCCACCCCTCTTTCCTTGGGTCTCTTGCCACTTCCTGGGCCTTGATTGTGCTTTCCCCCATCTCCTGGGGACTGAACTCGTGGTTTTATGAATGCTAGAACACTCTGCCTGTTACACCAGCTGCCCAGTTTCTGTTGTCTGACTGTCTTCCCCACGGACTTTTCTCAGGTTCTATTTTCTCCAGAGAAGTTGAAGGGGCCTAAGAGGCAGACACAGAGCTCAGGCTTGGACTGAGGAGGCGTAAAAACATGGTTTTATTCCAAACACTGCAGTGTAGTAGTGGGAGTGGGAAGGGTCAAGTGTGAGCTCCCAGACCCGCCTCTCAACCCAACCTCAGACCCTGCTGAGATCTGGGCAAGGAGGTCCGGGGGAGAGGGCGGGAGGGGAATGTCTGCTGGGTCATCACTGAAGGACCACAAATAAGGGCTGGATTTAAAGATGTGGTTGATAGGGAAGTGGGGGAGGCAGGTGAAGGTAGGACTTTCGTGGAGGATAGGTCATAGGTCAGAGCCAACAAGGATCTAAAAGGAGGGGGTCATCGAGGTCTGACATGAAGGGTCACAGTCTGGTCGGGGCACAGTCTGGGGTCAGATGATCATTGTAGGTATTGGAAGTCACAGTCTGGGGTCAGGGGTTTCTGTGTGGCGGGGCCAAGGTCTGGAGTCACAGTTTGGCGTACTCGTCTCACAGTTTTGAGTCCTGATGAATGAAAGATTAAAAACAGGCTCCCCGGGAGGTGTGTTTGGGGCCAGGGAGCTGCACAGTGATGTGAGGGTCATGGCCCCGAGAGTGGGGGGCGGGGCGCGGCGAGACCCCTCCCTATCTCCCGCCAAATCAGGTGACGTTAAAAAGCCCTTTTCGGGGTTTTTTTTTTAAAAAAAAAAAGAGTCGGTGCGCTCCGAGAACCCCGCCCCATTTGCTCTCAGGATGGGTGAGATTTGGGCGACCAAGTCCCCTCTGGCTCATGGTTTCCCCAACGCGAGGGGACGCAGGACGCTGCTCCAGGCGGGGTCCAGCCAGGTCCGTTTCCGTCCTTCCCAACCCATGTGGGTCCTGTCCACTCTAGAGCGCCCCCTCGGGCCGTGGCCTGCGCTGACCGAGGGGGCGACGGGGACCTCCCGGAGCCGCATCATACCTCGGACTCCAGACTGGAGAAGTGCGCAGAGCCCCTGCGCGTGCCCAGGTCCCCGCCCCGGTGTCTCCGGTGCGGTGCGGGGGGCAGCTGCGGCCCCCAGTGCGCAGCATGCGGGCAGCGGCGCGCGTGGCGTGAGGGCCCGGTGAGCCTGCGTGAGGGGGCCGCCCGCGGACAGGAGCTCAGGTCCTCGAGCGAACGCGAGGTGGGCGCGGGCGGCGGGATGTCCCAGCCGCCTGCCGCGCGCCGGTGTCGGTGGTGGTGCGGCGCAGCGGGAGGACGGTGCGAGGCCCGCGGGCGGTGAGGGTGCGGGCGTGGACACCCACAGCGTGCCCGGCGCCTGGGTGGTGGCCCAGCAGCCCAGGGTGGCGGCGGAGGCGCCCACCAGCCGCCGTCGAGGCCGTCGTGCGAGCAGCTGAGGTGGCGCGGCGGCGGTAGCAGCTCCAGGCTGGCGCAGTGGCGGCAGTGCCACGCGGGGCCGCTGCGCGGGGGCAGGTAGTCCCAGCTGCCGGCGCGCCAGCCCCCGAGCTTGTCTACCGACCAGTAGCGGCCGGGCGGTGGCCCGAGGCGCTCGGCGTACGGGTACGGGAAATCGGCGAACCACCAGGGCTCCAGGCCGCCGAGCGACGCTCCGCCCAGGCTCTCCGAGTCCTCGGAGTCCGAAGGCGACGGCTCGAGGTCCAGGTAGGCGCACGGTGGGGGCGCGGCGCGGCGCGGCGGCGGGGCGCTTGGGGCCCCCGCGCTCGGGCCGCCCGCGCCCCCACCCAACAGCGGCTGGCTCTCGGGGTCGGAACGCGGCCAGCGCGTGGGCGCAGGCGGACTCTCGTCCTCGAAAGCCAGGCGGCACAGTGGCGGCCCGACGGCGGCAGCTGCGGCGGCGGGCGGCGCAGGCGGGGATGGGAAGCCGGGGAAGGCTCCGGCGGGGGGCTCGGCCGCCTCCTGGTCGCGCACGATGGCGAAGTAGGACGGTGGTGGCTTCTGCGGGGGCTGTGTGGCGGGTGGGGACAGAGGGCGTCCAGCCGCGCCTCTGGGTGCCGCGCGCGCCTCGCCGAGGCCCAGCCCCTGCGGCTCGATGGGACCGTAGTATCGGTGGAAGCCGTCGGCCAGCGCTGCGCCTCCCGGAGGCCCGGTGCCCTTGGCCCTGCGCCAGCGGTCGGCGGCTGCTCGCTCTCGGGGCACGAAGGGTGCAGGGCCTGGGGGCGGGCGCGCGGTGGGGTATGCGGGGCTGGGTAGTGGCTGCGGCGGGGGCGGGGGCTTGGCAGGCGGTGGAGCCGCCTCGGCGCTGCAGCAGCTGTACATGCCCTGTGAGGGGTGCGGACGGGTCAGCCGGGTGTCTGTACCCACTCCCTCTTCTTCCACACTGGGCCCTGCCCACACCTTCTGTTTCTTTGTCTCTCCCTATCCCCCTTCCCCTCTTCTGGTGCTCCCCCTGCCTCCAGGTTCCCTTTCCTACCCTGGAGAAGGCCAGCAGGAAATCCATGCGGTGGGTAGGCCCCAGGCAATGCCGCAAGCGCCAGTACACCAGGTGTTCCCAGGCGAAGACCAGCAAGGAAAGGCCCATGGCCACCAGGAGCATGTAGAAGACACCTGCCATGTTATCGATATCCAGCTTGCTGCTCATCACCTCGATTTTGTCATTGTGGCAGATCCCGGAAAGCCACAGCCGTTCCAGCATCTCAATCTCATCTGGAGATGGGGTCAGAGTCACTTACTGTGAACACACTCTGCTCCAACAGAGCCCCAACCCCAGCCCATCCTCCCCAGGACTGAAGGCCAGCCCTCCCTTCTCCAGAGTAGGACTTCCCGCCCAGCATAGTCGCACCATCCCCCAGGAACTGCAGCAGCGCCAGGTCGATGGGTCGCTTCCAGCGGGAGCCCTTGTGAAGGGCAATGCCATAGCCGGTGGTAGCGAAGACCTTGCCGGAGCCGATGGTGACCAGCTTGCAGCCCTCATCCTTGCGGGCCATGTAGTTAAGCACTGCCGCATCGTAGATGAAGGCGTCCAGTTTCCTGAGGACAGGGACGTGAAAGACAGGGTCAGTCTCACGTAGATGACCTCATGGCACTCCAGGAGCCCCTTTCACCTCTAACCCCAACTGCTCAGGAGTTCCTGGGCAGGTACCTCCTGTGCCTCTTTTCAACAGTGGTCAAAGGGACCTAATTCTGACAGCAGCACGCTGGAACTTTTGCAGAGGTGACAGCGCCTGGGAAGGCGGTGCTGGAGAGAGGACAGCCTTTTAACTGACATGGGAACAGTCTCTTAATCCAACATACTACCAAAGAAAATACTGGTTCGTGTTTTTGTTTTTAGTGGAAGTTAACGTTAAAAAGGCCGGACAGTGGTGGCACACACCTTTAATCTGCCTTGGGAGACAGAGTCAGGCGGATCTCCGTGGGTTTGAGGCCAGCCTGGTCTACAGAGTGAGTTCCAGGACAGCCAGGGTTGCACAGAGAAACCATGTCTTGAAAAACCAAAACAAAGAAACAAAGTTGTGTTGGGGTATGTGTGTGTGTGTGTGTGTGTGTGTGTGTGTGTGTGTATGTAGCCCAGAGGCAGAGCAGTTGGTAGCAGGGGAGTTCACAACCACTTCGTAACTCCACCTCCCAGGAGCTCTGATGGCGTCTTCTGGTCTCTGCGTGATCTGCACCCATTTTATGACACACACTCACATAGACACAGAAACTTTAAAAAGTAATTAATCTATTTATCGATTGCGTATGCAGTGTTCTCTCAGCATTCACACCTACAAGGCCAGAAGAGGGCATCAGCTCTCATTGTAGATGGTTGAGCTGCCATGTGGTTGTTGGGAGTTGAACTCAGGACCTCTGGAAGAACAGCCAGTGCTCTTAACCTCTGAGCCATCTTTCCAGCCCCCAAATATAAATATTTTAAAAGGCTTTAGATTTTATTAGTTGTGACACTGGTGGTGGAACCCGGGCCCTATACACATTAGACCATCATGCTCTCATCACGCCATGACCGAGCCCTACCCCTAGACCCTCATTGTTGGGCGCTAGGAACACCTAATAGTCACAGCCCAAGCTCTTGCCTTATAAAGAGGCTTGAGACTTAGCAGGGGAGTGGCAGTGACACCAGGGAGCCCTTATATTTGACCTGTATTCTACCTATTACTGTTCTTCAGACTCATCATTTGATCCCCACAAAACAGAAGTAAAACTAAAACCTTTCTGTCTCTTCTTTCCAGAAGGGGAACCAGCCTCATCTGGGCCCTAACATATTAAGCTTTGGTTGGGAGAGAAGTCAGGGTACCCCGCGGATGCCTGGCACTACTGCCCTTCACTCCTGACCTCAGCTTCTTCTGAGACTGCCAGCCCCCGAAGCTGGCACACAGGTCTTCATTCCTAGCCCAGGCATAATCTGGCACATACAATGATTTTTTTTTTTTACAGAATAAATTGTTGTGGGATATTTGTTTAACCAAGCAAAGATGTGTTACATTTGTTTGTTTGTTGCGTTTGTTTCACCTTGCCAGCCTGAGGTACCTGATTGGTCTAATAAAGAGCTAAACAGCCAATAGCTAAGCAGAGAAAGGATAGGCAGGGATAGCAGGCAGAGAGAATGAATAGGAGAAGTCTAGGCTTGAGGGGAGGAGAAGGAAGAACCAACAGCAAGGAGAAAGAAGGACACACCCAGGGGAAGAAACCAGGCAGATGCCAGACAGACATAGAGAAGCAGTAAAAGTAAGATACACAGAAACAAGGAAGGTAAAAAGCCCCAAGGCAAAGGTAGACAAAGAGAAACAGGTTAAGTTAAAAGAGCCTGCCCAGAAATGAGCCTAAGCCAGGCCAGGCATTCAGAATCAGTGAGTCTGTGTCATGATTTGGGAGCTGGCTGGTGACCTAAAGGAAGAAGCCTGGCTCGGTGAATTATAACTGAACGGTCCACACCAGTAAGCAGGCCCAGAAGCACCAGAGACCAGACGCTCTGAGCCACTAAAGCCGTCTCGTCAGCCCCTACAGTTCTTCTTACGTTTATCTGTTTATTGCGTGTGTAGGCACATGCATGCCATCGTGCACTTGTGGTCAGAGGACAACTTGCAGGTCAGTTTCCTTCCACCCTGTGGGCTCTGGAGATTGATTTCCCTCCGGCCACCAGGCTTGGGAGCAAGCGCAATGACCCTATGAGCTATCGCCAACCTTGCTTTTTGAATTTATTTATTTTTAAATATTTATTAAGTATACAGTATTCTGTCTGCATATATGCCTGCAGGCCAGAAGAGGGCACCAGATCTCATTACAGATGGTTGTAAGCCACCATGTGGTTGCCGGGAATTGAACGCAGGACCTTCGGAAGAGCAGGCAATGCTCTTAACCGCTGAGCCATCTCGCCGGCCCCTGAATTTATTATTTTTACATTTAATTATGTGTGTGGGAGGGCATGGCATGCACATGGAGGTTGGAGAAAAACTTTCAGGAGTTGGTCCTTCCTTTCTACCACATGGGCTCCAGGGATTGCACACAGGGCTACAGCCTTGGGTCTATGTCACTTGTAATGCGTGTGAGCATGCTCAGTTGTTTGTAAGTGCTTGTGTGTGAAGTGGGGGGGACCTTGGGTGTCATCCTCAGGACCACAGTCACCTTTGAGACATGATCTCTTTTTTGTTTATTTTTTGAGACAGTCTTACTATATACTGCTAGCGGCTTTGAAACTTACTTTGTGGACTAGGCTAGCCTGAAACTCAGAGACTTGCCTGCCTCTGCTCCTTAGTGCTAGGTTAGAAGGCGTGCACTTCCATGCCCAGTGAGACATACATTTTATTAGCCTAGCGCTCACCAAAGGGAAGCCTCAGGGATGTACCTGTCTTGGATTCCCCAGCACTAGTTTCACCAGCACGCAGTTTTTCATGGCTCTGTCATCTCAGCCCCAATGCTACTTTCTTTGAAGATGGCTCTCGCAGAGTTACCGAGACTGGCTTTAGCTTCATAGCCTCCTGCCTGGAGCCCCGAGTATCTGCGATGACAGGTCAGCACCACTAGGCCTGCCCCTCTGTTTTTTCTTTCAATGGTATAGCTGCGGGGTGACGTTTTGGCCACACTTCTTACAGACTCCGGATAACTTCTAAGCCAGGGCCTCACCCTTGTGTAGTATTGTCCAGAAACCCTGCTGTGATAAGATAGACCCTGTGTGTGGATATGGTAGCCACTGTCCACATAGGCTAGAGTACTTGAAGTTTGGCCACAGTGGGGAGATGGAATTTTAAATATTTCCTTGATTTTTTTTAAACTAAAATACTACTGGGTGGACCAGATCTGTGGGATGGCAAGCTAAAGGCATGACCGGAGGCTGACCACAGATAGGGAGGATTCGCCAGGAAGGAATACTTACCTTTATGTGGTGCATGTGTGCATGCATGAGTGTGTGTTCCACTCGGATTCTGGTAGCCGCTGAAATCCATCACAGCCTCTAGCCTGTCAACTGATTTAAACCCTGCTTTATTAAGCTTCAGAGAATCTCATGCGTAAATGCCTTGAGTGTGTGTGTGTGCGCGTGCACGTGTGTGTGTGCGCGTGCGTGTGTGTGCGTGCGTGCGAGTGTGCGTGTGTGTGTGTGTGTGTGTGTGTGTGTAAAGGACAGAGCAGAACCTGTCTGTGCACTCACCTCTACTGGGAAGACCCCTGGAATTGAGGTGATACAGCCAAAGCAAAGAAGAACTTGGGGTGAAGTAGAGGCTAGGAGGCCCCGAGAATTACCTTTCATTTTGGGGAGGTCATTGAGGGTCCCACTTTGGAAAGGGGTCTTAGTTTTCTCTCTGTCCTTAACTGGCAGAGGGATCCCAACTGACATCTAGGAGTGTGTAGACACAGGCAAGCCTGCAGGCACACTACCTTGTAGGCAAACTGTAATTCCTCTCTAGGTTTCTCTCTGTTAAGGAAAATGCCCAGGAGGGCAGGAAGTGGATTGCTCTCCACATTTAAGTGGAGGCGACTTAGCTTTTCAGGCTTGGACTGAGGGGAGAGATGGAAGGGCTGGGGAATTGCATCAAATGGAGAGTCTTCTTGGAGGAAAGGAGTGCACGCACTTGAGCCTTTGAGAGAAGTGCTACAAGACAAAGCTTCCAAAATGGAAGCAGTGGAGGAACTTCAGCAGACGGAACCAAACAGCATTTCCTTGTTAGTTTTTTGGTCCTAGTGGAACTGAGAGCCTCAAGCTAAACAAGAACTCCTCCACCGAACTGCATGTCTAGTCTAGTACTCCCTTTTATCTTTTTTAAGATTTATTTTATTACTGTGAGTGTTTTGCCTGTGTATTTGGGCAGCACATGCATACAGCGCCTGTAGAGGCCAGAAGAGGGCATGGGATCCCGTAGATCTGGAGTTACAGATGGAAATCACTGTGTGGGTGCTGCTGGGAATCGAACCTGGGTCCTCTGCAAGAGCAAAGTGCTCTTAACTGAGGAGCCATCTCTCCAGCCCCCATCACTCCCTAAGTAGTTATTTGCTCAGCTGGTCTGTGTCCTAATGCCTGCCTCCCCTTTTTCCTAAATCCCTATTTATATTCAACCTAGGGTTGGAGACAAACTGCCTAGAATTCCCCTGTGAGGGGCTGGGGGTGTGACTCAGTGGTAGAGCCCTGTCAAGTGGGGGTGGGCTTTGAGGTTTCCAAAGCCCAGCCCAGGAGCAGTTTCTGTCTCTGTCTCCTTCCTCTCTGCCTGCTGCTTGTAGATCAGGATGTAAACTCTCGGCTGCCACTCTGGTATCATGCCTTTCTGCTTCCCATCACGACGGCCATGGACTAACTCTAAAAGCTGTAAGCCATCCCCCAGTTAAATGCTCTCTTTTCTGAGACTTGCCTTGGTCACATAGAACGGTGACCAAAGCACCTAGCAATGTACACAGCCAATCCACAGCATGGCAAAAGCAAATCCATAGCCTAACCAGGTGCCTAACTTCTGTTAGCATTTGAAAAGGTGAGGCAGGAGAATTGCTGTGAGTTTGAGGAGATCCTCAGCTATATAAGCAGAGCATGCAGTCTGCTGCAGGGGCCCAGC